CACAGCTGGCCTTATTGTGGCTGGATGGGACCAGACTGAGGGGCCTCAGGTAGTCACTTATCTGATCTTAAACGCCACCGCTTACGGGCGGTGTGGGGATGTATGTTTAGCTTCCTCAACTGAGCTCGTAAGTTCTCTCACTACATTATGAAAAATCCGCCAAGGATTATGGGTAAAGTGTACAAAAACCAACGGTAATTTCGCAAAGTTTCCCCATAGTTTTTATATTCTTACTAACATATGTAGTTAGCCATGTGGATATATTCCCATACTGCTTACAGGTTTATTCGATACCTCTGGGTGGTACTATTATCAAGCAAAACATCGCCACTGGTGGTTCTGGGTAATGGTAACTCTTGCGAGCTCCGAAGAATGCTTAGGGTCTTTTGTCAGATCGACTTACATTACGGGGTTGGTTGATCATTTGTATCGCCCTGATATGAGCAGGGGGGAGGCTGAGGACTTCGTGGCTAAGGCGGTGGCTCATGCTATGGCCCGTGATGGATCTTCTGGTGGAGTTATCCGTGTCACCACTGTCACCGAGAAAGATGTGGCCGAGAAGTGCCTATATGCTGATAAAATACCGTAACCTCAACGATTCTCGTATGCGCTACAAGATTGCATTGTTGTAAAGGTACACTCTCCAGTGAAGAATATAGATGGACGATTATACTGAGTGGTGAAAAACTCACTAAAACCGTTTAAATAGAAATTGGGTGATTTGTGTTGTTATATGGATGCACGTTGATTGATAAGAACACCAGAACATTTTTGAAGCACCACTCCTTACGTACTATGTACTACGTACTATGTACTACGTACTATGTACTACGTACTATGTACTACGTACTATGTACTACGTACTATGTACGTAATATGTACGGGAACAATTTCACATGTATGAACTTGTAGCAATACCATAATTCGAGGAAAAGATTCATGACTGTTATTCAAAATGTGTTGGCGACGGGTGTAAAGGAGGCCCCTCACTATCACAGCAGAATATATCAACATCATAGCAACAGTTGCTAGTATGATGGTGGTCCCCACGTCAAAGCACATGAGTTTGGCAGATCTGTAGGCAAGTGAGGTATATAGGCCATTGACGTCAGGAAGATCTGCAAGTACTGGACCATGGTTTCAATGTAAAGAGCATCGAGGCATTGCCTTGGGGATAGTATGATCAAGTTTATAGTGTGTTGGATAGAGTCTATGAATGTTTACAAGAAATACGTTGGCGCAAGGTATTTGGAAGGCTAGTTGCACAAAATACGGTAAACTAATTTTATTAAATAATTGCGTAAAATTGCGCAGAAAAGGTCAACGGCGCAAGATATCATTGTGAAGTGTCCTGGGGCCCCCTTCAAAAGATACGAAACAGGTTCAGTTCAAGCACACCTGAGCATGGTCGGTCACTCCCAACAATTTTTGAGTGCTTCAACGTATACTATTCCCTCAGGAATATCAGGGCGCGCGCTATTTACGTTTAGGATGTCTCGGCATTCGGATTGAGCGTCGCAGAAGTATTCGGAAAAATGTTGTTGTTGTTATTAGTTATTTTTTGCCTCAATGTTGATATCTTCCAACGGTTCGAAGCTTACCAAGTTCGCATCTTCCCGAGCTCTCGCTGCTGCTACCCTCAGAACAAGGAACTTTGCTGCAAAGGTGTCTTCAAGTAAGGATTAGTTTACCAGTCTCGTACTAGTGAGTGCTCTATTAGGTGGTGGTCAATGGCAAACAGTTGATGGGTGTACTGGGGTTACTCATGTCTCATACGCTATGACCGACACGGCATTCATTTTCCCTATTACTCCGTCATCACCTATTGCTGAGCTCTCTGAGCAGTGGTCTGAGCTTGGCGTGAAGAATGCCTTTGGTGATGTCGTTAAGATCACACAAATGCAGTCGGAAGCTGGTGCGGCTGGTGCTCT